CTCCAACTTGAGTCAAATTCTGATTCACAAAATCATAAGACTGACAGAACCTTGTCCAAGTAGCTCATTCTTAAGAAATGATTATATGACTTAAGACATATTCCAAAGCAGTAGCAGAACTAGGTCTAGAACCTGGATGATACGATTCTCTGGGAAAGTTTTTATTCTGCCATCCTTTACTGCCACTAAATCACTACATAACCTAGCTAGAAAATTACCTGATGGTTCAAATCAAGAAGGGAATAAAACTGACACACTCCAGGAACAACTCAAAAAAAGGGAATTTTAAATGGACTTCTGTTTCTATTGGAAAAAAAAAAACTTAAACATTTGCTTATTGTTATCAAACAACTTTTCTAGGTTTTAAAAAATGCTATAGAAATAAAACGAATATTTACAGTACAAGAACTCATCTCAGTATTCTCAATAATTATGAAGACCAAATGTCTCCATCAACATTATCCAACAGAAATTTCGGAAATAATGGAAATTTTCTGTATCTTTACTCTCTAATATGGTAACCACTAGAAACATGTACTACTTAGCATGTAAAAGGTGGCAACTGCAACTGAGGAGTGAAGTTTTTACTTAAAACAGTCATGTATATCTAATGGCTACCATATCGGATGGACAGTGCAAATTTAGACAATCCCCAGAGAGTACAGAATTGGCTAGTGAAAAATGAAAACACAGCAGTGCTTTTATAGAGTGCCTGCCATGCAAGGCAAGTGCAATAGGCTAGAAAGAATATACCATTCTGTATTAATGACTTCTGGGGCTCCAAATAAGGTCATTATTTATCAGCAATAAAAAGCTGACAAAGATCATATAATCTTAGTTATACATACACCTTATTGGTAAAATGTGGCTAAAAGTACTTGCCTTTATAGGTACTAAATGAATAAATTTCTTTGCATATGCAGGTATTCTGTAAAATGGAAAACACCATGTACAAATGTAGAGCTTGAGTATCCCCAAAATGTTTGGAACCAGAAATATTTTAGATTTTGGAATTTTTCAGGTTTTAGAATACTTGCATATACTTCACCAGTTCAGCATTACTAATCTGAAAATCCAAATGCTCTAAAATTGGAAACATTTTTTTTTTCTATTGCCATGGTACTCAAAAACAGCTTTGCATTTTAGAATTTGGGGTCTGGAATGATCATTTTTACAACTCATTTGGGTAAATGAAAATATGACCATAAACCAATCACAAAGCTACTTATCTAAGTCTATCCTCAACAGTAGGATTAAACACCTGAGGCAAAGTCAAGTGAATTTGAGTATTACTGCCTCATTACAACTAAAGTATACATTAAAAAGGGGTATTCTGATTAGACCAAAAGGTGATTTGTCTATCCACATTTTTTATTCTTAAAGGTTAACTTTTCAGTTTTTTTTAATAGCTAACAAATGTGAATTAAAAGGTAATAAACAATGCCAGAATTTTGAAGGCAGAAGACAAAGTACTGGCAGCATCTCTGGCAAAATACTGACAAGGTTCCTTCACATCAAGAGAACAGTGAAACAGCTCTTTGCTGTCTGGCCACTGTTTATTGCTGTAATGGTAACTACAGAAATCAAGGAATAGTTCTCATTACACATGGTCCATGTCTATAGAAATGTATGTAATTAATACTACCTCAAAGAGTTATAGCATTTTAAACATTTTAACTGTTTGCCTGAAGATTATATTTTATAATAACTCTATTAAGTAAATAAGAAATAATCTGATACTCTAAGAAGCTGAAAATCATGCTCAAACTTAAACACAAGCATATTATTATATAGCAATCTCCTGATCTTTTATAATGGGGTTCATTTATGTTTGTATATACTTCCTCACTTAAGGAAAACAAAAACAAAAAGGTTCTAGCCAAATTAATTAAACAGTAATTTTCAGATTTGGACAACAATTTTCCAAAGACAGAGAAAACAAATTCTTACAAAATTCAAAACTCATTCTGACATGGTATACATGTATCTTTTAAAACCTGATTGATAAACCAAGCATTAAAATCAATCTCATTAGTATGAGAATTGGTTATAAAAAAATTGTTTTCCATGGTTTTTAAAAATGAATTTACAAGCTTTTTAATTACTGATGACACATATGTTATTTAAGTACTGGAATGCTTATTATTAAAAGGATAATGTCCATACAAATTTTTAAACTTAAATTACAGTGAATAAATTTTTTTCCCCTGTATATCCTTTTATCTGAAGGGTGGTCTCCTTCTGTATCTTGTTACCATTTTTCTCTTTACTCGCTGAGGATCAGCTTCTTATCCTCAGTTCTTTCCTATTCTCTGAACTGTCTACTCAAAAATTAAAACTCAAAATTTTTTTGCCAATAAGGAGTGGTTCAACTTGTTTTAAATTACCACCATTTAAAATCTGTGAAACAAGGGATACCTATGTAAGATGAGGATGTTAAAAGGTATAAAACTCCTAAGGAAAAAAACAACAAACAGAAATTCTAACTAAAAATCCTATTTATATTATTAAAAATGTACTTCCATTAATATATTAAGTAGCATCATGTTTTACCCTAAATTGAGGTAAATTATTTGTCATTGAATACATTATTTTAAATTTCACCTTAAAAATTAACCCAGTAATAAAATGTACATCAAAGAGAACAAAATTTACTATAGGCAAACTTAAAAATAAGTTTTAAATGATTAAGCCAGTTAAGAAGAAATCTTTATTACAAAACTATACTCCTTTGAATAAATGGCAGATGTATCATCATACTAAGGAATTTGTTACCAATATAATACTTAATATATTTAGGATATTTTCCATAACAAGTTATCTTATTTTTATAATAAAGCTTGTGATTTTTTTAACTTTTTTTTTTAAATTGTAGTTGGGCACAACTCCATACATACAATAAAATACCCTTATTTTATTTATTTATTTATTTATATATATGGTGCAGAGGATCAAACCCAGGCATTCTACCACTGAGCCAAAACTCCAGCCCCCATAACAAGTTATCTTTACCACAATTTTTTTTTAGTTGTAGATGAACATGATACCTTTATTTAATTTATTTATTTTTATGTGGTGCTGAGGATCCAACCAAGTGCTTCACACATGCAAGGAGAGGATTCTACCACTAAGCCACAACCCCAGCCCTCTTTACCACAATTTAATCATCCATTTTAGACTTCAAAATCAACCTGTTGAAATTAACAAGAGTGTGAGCAACCTCTTTCTGATAATATTTACAGTCTGGAGCCAGATGTGGTGGCATGCCTGTAATACCCAAGGAGCCCAAGCACCAGGATCTCAAGTTCAAAGCCAGCCTTAGCAACTTAGCAAGGCCCTAAGCAACTTAGTAAGATGCTCTCTCAAAATGAGTAACAAAAGAAAAAGGGTGGGGGGACTGGGAATGTGGCTCAGTGGTTAAGTGCCTCAGATTCAATCTCTGGAACCCCTCCCAAAAAACATATTTTACACATATGTGAGTGTGTATATGTATGTATGTATGTGTGTGTGTATATACATATATATACATATACTTATATATATACATATATGTATATATACATATATGTATATATATATATACACATATATACATATATTTATACACACACATCACACATAAGTGTGTGTGTGTGTGTATATATATATATATATACGTTATATAAATTATATACATATTTTTTTAATGTACTCTCAAAAGAGTAACGTATGATTGCTGCTGTAAGGAAAATTCAAACACTAAAATTTTGAGGCTTTGGGACTGGGGAGGTTGTTCAGTAGTAGAGTACTCACTCACCTTGCATGCATGATACCCTGGGTTCAAGCCTCAAGGCCAGAAAAAAATAATCATTTTTTCTTTTTTGGAGGCTTCAATTCTAGTTTACTTATTTCAGGAATTGCAACTTAAACATTATAATTAGGTTAGAAATAAACTCTGAAATTTAGTATAAGCATGAAATGTGGTTTTAGATTCTGGTTTTCAAAATGCATACCAAAAATAACCAAAGAGATAGAGAGAAAGAAAGATATATATGATTTGTTGAAATCTCACAAATTTCTATGAAGGCCCATGAAGTCTCATATAAATACAATGAAAGTGAAGAGTAATCCTCACTTCATATAACATACATTATGAACATGAAAATGAACTGGTACTTATCATAAAAGTTCAGGAGCTCTCTCTTAACTATGTATTATCACTGATATCAAATTGGGACATTAAAGAAACACTAAAAGACTTAGGTACTACGATTAAGTCAGGGAACACATAACTCTTTACTTCAGGATAAACAAATCCTATTATCTATTTCTAACTAGACAAATTCTGTGATTAGTCCTTAATTTAAGAAGAGGTTACAAATCAGCAAAACAGAATTAAGTTTGAATACTGGGGAATAAAATTCATTCAAGTACAGTCAGTTTAAATTCGACAACGATATGGAAAGCTGAATTAAGGTCAAAGCATCGACAATCTACATTGTAAACATTAGTTTTCTTATTAAAGACCAATCAATGTGCTCTATTGCCTTTAACAAGAAGGTTTAGATTCCAATGGTCTCAAATTATCCTGAACCAAACTGAGAGGAACCCAAGACTTCTTTTTCTTTTTTGGTACTCTTGTTTCCCCAGCCTTACCAATTTTTTATTTTATAGTGCACTATTATTTATTTTTTAATTTTTATTTTGCTTTTATTCATTTTCCCCCATTATTCTTATTGGTGCATTACAGTTGTACATTATGGTGGGCTTTGTTTTTACATATTCATACATACACACAATATAACAATATAGTTTGGCCAATATCATGCCCCAACTGCACAATTACTTAACTATAAAATGGTTTACACTGTAAACATCAAACACATAGGTAAAAAACTAACCATAAAATAACTGAAACAGAACAATTTTATCATTGTATACACACTTATCTGTAGAGAGGCTAGCATTTAAAATTTTACAACCTATCCAGTAAGTATGCTAAGAGAAAACAGTGAACAAACCAGAAAGAACAGCTTCCTTGAAAGATTGTAACATGTGGGTGACCTCACTGATATCATTCAACATCTCCTTGATGTAGTCCTTCCTTGATGCTAAGTTGGAACTTATGGACTTATCAGCAGAAAGTTGGCCTGATGCTGAAAGAGACTTTTTCTTTGCCTTCTTCTTTCTGTGAGCAATCATCCTCTTATTTAAAAGTCAGAAAAACTGAAATCCTTAATAGGGCAAGAAACAAAAACAAAAAAGAATGAAACACAAATACTACATGAGCTAGGGAAACATATCAGGTTTTCACAAACTGCCCATAGTCTACCTTAGTATTCTATTTTTAATTTTTAAAAACAAATGAATAAAACACTGTACTATGAATTGTGGATTCTTAAAAGTGTCTGTAATCCTGACAATGTCCAATATGCAAACTATCATTCTTTTCATTTCACAAGTGAGGAACCTGGGTTTAGAGGTTTAAAAATATGTCTATGCTCTCTACTGCTAAATGATGAACTTCGAGTTGAATCTAGATCTGCCTTAACTTTCTCTTAATTCCTAAGGTATAGAACATTTTTTAATTGTAAAAGTTGTTTAAAATCCTCCTCCATCATTTACTATATGACCTCAGAAGCTGTTAATCATCTCTTCACTTTAGTATGCTTATTTATAAAATCAGAAAAACATCCTGACAACACCTACCTGAGGAGCATATTTTACAGAATTAAATGAGACAGTAGTATAGAAGTATACATTGAGCACATGAAAGTAGTTGAATTACAGTTATTTTCTCTAGTGAGATACACACACACACACACACACACACACACACTGACATTCTGGGTTATTAAGTTTCATAAAGAACATTTTTGTTGAAAACAAATTCTAAGGATGCCCCTTAATCTGATGTATCCTGACTAAACAAATAAATGTCATATTATCAGAGTAATACTTCTGGTAATTTAAGGATGTTAAAGACAATGTTTTGGAATTAAAAACAAGTTAGATTTGAATCCTGGCTTTAATATTTTCTAAATGTGTGACTTACACTATTTACTCTCATGTTTGCATGGAGATTAAAAGGGATCACGAAATTTAGAAACTTTTATGTTAAAATATCTATTCCTGGCCCACTGGGACTCAAAGAGAATCTTAGTTTCTTTTTCATCCTTATTTTAACTTTCCAGAATTAAAAGACCCAATTTTTGAAAATTTCTTAAAATAGAAAAGGAAACAACTTGAGGAATTAGCACAAGCATGATCATTAAAAGATTTTTCAAATATTTTGTCTTAAGTATTTGGATACTTTCAAAATGTAAAATGACAAAGGACTCCTATGAATTAACAGTAGAAAGTTTTATGCAATATTTTAATCATTGTAAGATACATTACTGTATCATGTACTATTACACCATGACCAATTCCACAGATTTGCTTTATCCCTGTGATTACAGTTCTCTAGTCTGTCCACTTCTATTTCTGCCTCTCCCACACTAGTGAATTGTCATTTCTTGCCTGAGCTACTGCACTAATTTCCTAATGATCATTCCACAACCATTCTTGTCCCATTATAAATGTAGTAAGTAAACTTTTCAAACATAAAAGATACCAAACAAAAAGATACAAAGCCAAACAAACACATTACAAGAAAACTGAGCCCAAATTCCTCAATACAGTATTAGCAAATTAAACCCAACAATATCATGGCCAAGAAGGCTTTGTCTCAGGATGCAAACTTAGTTTAACATTTACTAGAGAAAAACTATGTGACCATTTCAAAATGGTGTCATTTCTCTGCTTAAACCCTTCCAAAGGAAAAATGTCATGCTCTGTGAGACTGAGAGACATGGCTTTTGCCTGCCTCTGCAGTACCATCACACTCCTGGGCTCTAAACATTCCTGCCACATACACCTCCTTTTCATTCTTCTAACAGTATTTGTTTACTTTAACCCACAGTATGAAACAGTTTTACATCATGACTATTAATATATATATATATATATATATATATATATATATATATATGTAATGTTGGTGTGTGGTATGTGTAAGAATCTTTCGTAAAACAGATTCTAGCTAAGGATCCATAAGATGTACTCAGAATTTTTTCATTCTATTCAATTTCATTTTTATAAATGCTGATTTCAAGTTACTAAATTGGCTTCATACATGCAATAGGGTCATGACACTATAGCTTGAAAAACACCTATTGTTCAACTGGGGGTCCAGTCTACATGCAGATCAACTTGCCTGCAATATTCCTTCTTCTTCAATCACTGACTATAATCTCACTCCAAGATCACTTCCTCAGAGAAACTCTCCTGCACTACTCCCATGGTCCCATAACCACCATTACCAAACTAGAACAGAACCCCTAGCAATGCTCTAGAGCATCCTACACTGTTCATCGTTCCACAGTCCAAATAGATAATTCAATCTTACCATTTAGACTAGAATCTTAAAGAAATTAAGACCTTGTCTTGGTTGTTAATTATTTGTTCTCTTGCTCACAGCACAGTGCTTTACAAAGAAAGAATGAACTACTCAAAACTATTTGCAGAATGAATCGTGACTTTGCAGAAACAGTGAACATAAATTAATATAGTTAGAACTGACTTTTACAGAAACAAAAATAACTGTATTTTTGCAATATTTCAACGAGAAAAATTTTAAAATATCTATCTCTAAAATGTTATCTTTTTTTTGAAAAAAGGAAATGAAGCCGAGTGAAGGCAAAATTACAAAAAAACAACTGAAATAAAAGTTGTATTTCTTTTATGTTCTTTGTAAATATGGTAACCCAATACTTTTTAAAATATTTTTTTAGTTATACATGGACACAATCTTTGTTTTGTTTGTTTATTTTTATGTGGTGCTGAGGATCAAACCCAGTGCCTCACATGTGCGAGGCAAGTGCTCTGCCACTGAGCCGTAACCCCAGCACCCCACCCCCAATACTTTTTAATAGCTTTTAAAGTTCCTTTATTCAATATTCTTTTGTTAATTCCAAATTATTTAAAAATAGATTTTCTACACTTAAACTAGTTTCAAGCCTATCTAATGTTAATCCTTAAATATGTAATTTCTAAAATGAACCTTGGATCATGTTTTAGCACTCTTATTACACCTAATTTTTGCCATCAACAGAAATAAACAATTCAACAAAAATTTCAAGTGCCTTATTTGGGCAGCTCTTGTGTAAATCACTAACTGAAGAGCGATTAACCTAACAAATCTTATCACTTTTGCAGTTTACTTAATCAAAGTCATTGTTTACCTCTGGCAGCTTTTAAATTTAGTAAAATTAGGCAACTTTTTCACTGTTATTGGTAAAGACGTTACAAAAGTTAAAGACATAAGACAAGTTTGAAATAAAACACTTCACCTATAACCCACTTGAATCAAAGTGTGAAATATGATATATCAAGAACTATGTAATGTTTTGAACAACCAACAATAAAAAATTAAAAAAAAAAAAAAACCTTCACCTATCTGAATAAAAAGAATAGACCTGAAGTAACTGTGTCAAATTAGCAACCCAGAGGGCTGGGTATGTGGCTCAAGCGGTAGCATGCTCCCCTGGCATGCATGCGGCCCAGGTTTGATCCTCAGCACCACATACAAACAAAGATATTGTGTCCGCCAAAAACTGAAAAATAAATATTAAAAATTAAAAAAAAATAGTAACCCAACATTGTAAAAAAAAATGACAATTTTTAACTAAGACAGCAAAATCTGTTCTCTCTCTCTCTCTCTCTCACACACACACACACACACACAGAGTACTAAAAGAGATTGTATTATACCTCTAATTAATATTATGATTAATGTTTTAATTTTATTATTCTACTTCTTTTCATGTTTAAAACTGAAAAAGATACCAAAGCCAGACAAACACATTACAAGAGAACTGAGCCCAAATTCCTCAATACAGTATTAGCAAATTAAACCCAACAACACCATGGCCAAGAAGGCTTTGTCCCAGGATGCAAACTTAGTTTAACATTCACTAGAGAAAAACTATCTGACCATTTCAAAAGACACAGAAAAAAATATCTAACAGGATTCCATGCCCTTTCATGATAAAGTCAGCAAGTCAGAACAGAAGGGAAATTCTTATACCTCACAAAAGGCATTTATAAATTTTTTTTAAAAAACTAAGACCTATTCATCATAATGGTGACAGATAATGCTTTCCCTTAGGAATCTGGATCAATATTGTTACCAAAGGGCTTAGCCAGTATAGTAGATTGAAAATAAAATGCATTCAGACTGAAAGGGGAGAAAGCATTTTAATGAGATCACATGTCTGTGTTCCTAAAAAAGTCTTGAGGAACTCATAAATAAGCTACTACATCCAATAAATGAATATAGCAAGGTCACAGAATACAAGTCAATACACTACAATATATTAACAACAAATAATTGAACTACAAAATTTTAAAAAAACCATTTATAATACCATCAAAAAACAAGATATTCTTAGAGATAAGTTGAACAAAGCATGTGTAAGATCGTAAGTTAAAAGTTATAAAACACTACTGCAAGAAATGAAAGAACTGAATAAACTGCCACATTAATAGAATTGCAAAACTCAATATTCTAAAAATTCTTTTCTCTCAAAATGATATACAGTTTCAGGCAATTCCTATATCCCTCCAGGTTTTCATGCAGAAATTAACAAGCTGATTCTAAAATTTATATGAAAGTGTTAAAGATATGGAATAGCCAAAGAAATTCTGAAAAAGAACAAAGCTGGAAAATCTAGACTGATTGACTTTAAGATTTACTGTAGAGCTACAAGAATCAAGACAGTGCAAGATATTAGCATAGGAATATTCTCTTACAAATCAATAATAAGAAAGCAAATAAATAAATAAAATAATGAATAATAAAGTGAATAGACACATCACAAAAGATGATACACACTGAGAAATACATAGGAAACAATGCTTAACATCATTAGTATTAGGGAACTACAAATTTAAACTGAAAGACCACTAAATTTTCACAAGAAATTTTAATTTCAGCTAGACTGAAATACTAAATGTTGATAAAGATGAACAACTATTATAACTGTAATACAACACTGCTTTACAAGGTCCACAAAACCTTTGGAAAACAATTTGACAGTTTCATTTCTTTTTTTTATACTGGGATCCAATCCTGGTGACCTTGTGCACACTAGGAAAAC